ACTTCTGATGAGTCCCAAATATAGGACGAAACGACCGTCCAGTGCTTTCTGCATTCTGTTGAGATTTCTATCAGACTCGATGAATTAATTAAATATAATTATCAAATCCTCCTAATAATTTCTGTCTACCTATCTTTCTCTCACTCTATATATATATATATATATATATATATGTGTGTGTGTATTTATGAGGTAGCCGAGTGGTTACAACGCTAGAGTTCAACCTTGAGACCATCGAATTACATTGGTCAATTTCTCAAGGAGGTGACCATAATAATATGGATTTGAGGAGATGATTCGAGTATGGGACAATTTTGAAAAAAGCCTTATGATAACAATTGGCTAGTATAAGACACGGGTTCTTTCTTTGAGTGTTGAAGAAACACAGATTTGCCTGATCAGTTTCCTGCTAGAGGGATTGACTGGCTACCATAACAGACATACAAAAACAGAAACGCCTAGTATGCAATTTTTATAATGTGTATATTATCCTGTCAAACCTTTTTACTTCTTTACTTACTTATAATTTTCAACTACCTTTACGTAGACTCTCCCATATAGAAAATGTCTCCTTCGGCAATATTCGACCCTACGTTCCTTTAGGCAGGTGAAACTAGCAAAATTTTAAAACGCTCAACAACGAATGTGTTCGCAGTGAGGCAAGGCTCAATGATATATATATATATATATATATATATATATATATATATATATATATATATATATATATATTCGAACTCGGCTCTGCGATTCCTCAATCCAAGTCGCTATCCATTACTCCACCGTGCCTCCAGTCGAATCCATTACATTCACTTACGTGCTAATACCCTTGGGAAGTGTGTGAATCCTCTTCTTCTCCCTCCAGCTATGGGTAAATAGCAGGACAGACTGGGTTCTATAGCCTTGAATGGCAACTGGTCTAGGAGAAGGACAACTCTGAATTCAAAACCCGCGGAGGGTCGTTTGGGGACCTTGTGGCACTTAGTGCACCAGGTCTCTGTAATCGGCCCTTCAAAAAGTGTGGATGGTCCTGCACGAAACCTTCACCACTATAATCAAATCTCATGTGCCGTTGCCGGGCTGTCGGTTTCCTGGGAACTCATCAGCTTGACCCTCATACGTCGAACTCGACGGGAGAGTCGACGATATATATATATGTGTGTGTGTGTGTGTGTGTGTGATAAAAATATAGTTTTATAGTTTTGTATATAAATATATATACATAGTATAATACTTGTTTTTAAAAGAATTACTTGCAACCTTCCATATAGATGACCCTGGGTCGGGAAACTGCTGCTTGTGACTTATATAAATGGAAGTGCAAAATTCATGAAGACATTGAGATCTTCCAAGAACATGCAATGAGTTGGCCAAATGCCAAACGTGCAGCTCGCATCGGGGAAATCATTGATCCAGCAATCCAGAAATTTACAGGTGATGAATGTAGCAGATTATGTCTTTCTAATGTAGGCTTTCTTAGCCACAAGAAGTTTTAATGGTCGACCTTTAACAAATTATGATCATTACTTACGGCTTCTTGCTTTCCAGTTAACTTTAATCCTTTAAATATTGCAATGCCAATCGTTATATTCTGTCTTCTTAATTCAGGTTCTCTTACTGTTCTCCTTAATAGTGTTTTTTTTTTTTTTTATAGTAATTGTTCTTATGAACTTAACTCTATGGTAGCTAGTCTTTATGAATTTAAGCGCAGCACTAGATTGGTGACAAGGTCTCCTCACTTTGCAGTTGCTATGGCTAGATGTAACCGCAAGTTCTATGCTAACTGTTTCTTCACTCGTGATTGAAGAAGTCTCTTTCAGTTTCTTTCTATCCTGTCAAATCTGATCTTCAAAAATTTAGATGCAATATTAATCGTTATTTTCCATTTTCTTAATTCTAATTTCTTAATTATTCTCTCTGCTTAATAATGTTTTTTTTTTTCGCTAACATTCATTAAACCCTTGCGTTTTAGTGGCTTTATTGCCTTGCTTGGGTGAAATGATTAACAATATCATTAATCGTTTCAAACGATTTTTAAAAGAAAATACTTTGTCGTTTCCTGAAGTACACGAGGCTTCTCGAAACCTTTGATATCCAAATGATACTTAGTATATGTTTATTGATGACAATCCTGCTATATTATTTACTTCTGTCAAGAGATCATTATGATATATCCTGCGTAGATTTTGTCCATTTCTTAATATATGACGTCATTTGTTTACATTTGATACGCCATGCGCAAAGTTGAATGTACGCGATTCATGGAAAGATTGAGTCAGTTTATAAGCAGTAAATTCAACCGTTTTCAGTTTTTTTTTTCTGTCCGAACGATCCTTTCAAAACTTTATGGTGATATCCAAATCCCGAGCGGTCAAGTTAAATTACGTCAGTTTCGAGGACGTAAATGACGGTTCCGTATAAAGCGGCGCTGGGATGCAGGTTGAAAAAAAAAATCCTGTCAGAACGGACGAATATTTATATTTATTAAAAAATTTCGTTC